TGTTGATACCTTGTACCACAGTATTCAACTGTGTATCAATCTCACTCCATGTAGGAGGTGTATTGTATGTCTGTTGTGCTCATAAATAAATCATACAAAAAAAGAAACTGATGCACACACACACTCCTATTCTAACACTCTGTCATGCAGAGCCCATGGTGTAAATGGAATGTAAATTCAATGGAAACTAAATCCTGCTTTAGTTTAGGAAAGTGGCAGAGTATTTAAAAAAGAAAGAAGAACTAAATAAGACTAGAGACAGTTATGTGATTGGATCGAACCAGCCCGAACACCAATCAGGCCAGCAGGGTAAAGGGCAATGGCCCCTTCCCCACTTCCTTCCCCCTAAATCCAGGGCAGACCACCATCTTTGTACTCAGTGTGTATTGTGATCTAAACTATACACTCGTAGTACATAATGTTTGCAGATATCTAAATCGGCATCATTGTTAATTCAAATTGCTGTGCAAAGCGTTTTAAATCATTTTGTCAAAGCCCTAATTCTAGATTCTGAAATTATGTTTTGACTAAGATTCAGACTACCCTTCATGGGTAAGGGGTTTGTCTTGACAGATATCTGCATCTCAGTAGCAATAAGTGCAAATACAAACCGTGGTTTGGATATGTCGGCCAGGCATGGACACTTGAGTCATTTGGCGTCTGATATTTTAGATAACACAAACAACCAGAGATCCAGGAAACTGAAGTCATTTATGCAGTCTTTGCTGAAGTTTCATCTGGGCTAATATGTTGAGCTGAACACTATGTTAAAGAGAGATTGATAGATAGGTATATCATGATGTAGTAAGTAAAGTATATATATATACACTGAACAAAAATATAAATGCAACACTTTTGTTTTTGCTCCCATTTTTCATGAGATGAACTCAAAGATCTAAAACATTTTCTATATACAGAAAATAACCATTTATCTCAAATATTGTTCACAAATCTGAAAAAATCTGTGATAGTGAGCACTTCTCCTTTGCCGAGATAATCCATCCCACCTCACAGGTGTGGCATATCAAGATGCTGATTAGACAGCATGATTATTGCACAGGTGTGCCTTAGGTTGGCCACAATAAAAGGCCACTCTGAAACGTGCAGTTTTGCTTTATTGGGGGGGGTTTTGCTTTATTGGGGGGGGGGTTTGCTTTATTGGGGGGACCGCCATTTGCCTCACGCAGTGCAACACATCTCCTTCGCATAGAGTTGATCAGGTTGTTGATTGTGGCCTGTGGAATGTTGGTCCACTCCTCTTCAATGGCTGTGCCAAGTTGCTGGATATTGGCAGGAACTGGAACACGCTGTCGTATACGCCGATCCAGAGCATCCCAAACATGCTCAATGGGTGACATGTCCGGTGAGTATGCTGGCCATGCAAGAACTGGGATGTTTTCAGCCTCCAGGAATTGTGTACAGATCCTTGCAACATGGCGCCGTGCATTATCATGTTGCAACATGAGGTGATGGTCGTGGATGAATGGCACAACAATGGGCCTCAGGATCTCGTCACGGTATCTCTGTGCATTCACAATGCCATCAATAAAATGCACCTGTGTTCGTCGTCCATAACATATGCCTGCCCATACCATAACCCCACCACCACCATGGGCCACTCGATTCACAACATTGACATCAGAAAACCGCTCACCCACACAACGCCACACACGCTGTCTGCCATCTGCCCTGAACAGTGAAAACCGGGATTTATCCGTGAAGAGAACACCTCTCCAATGTGCCAGACGCCATCGAATGTGAGCATTTGCCCACTCAAGTCGGTTACGACGACGAACCGGAGTCAGGTCGAGACCCCGATGAGGACGACGAGCATGCAGATGAGCTTCCCTGAGACGGTTTCTGACAGTTTGTGCAGAAATTCTTTGGTTATGCAAACCGATTGTTGCAGCAGCTGTCCGAGTGGCTGGTCTCAGACGATCTTGGAGGTGAACATGCTGGATGTGGAGGTCCTGGGCTGGTGTGGTTACACGTGGTCTGCGGTTGTGAGGCCGGTTGGATGTACTGCCAAATTCTCTGAAACGCCTTTGGAGACGGCTTATGGTAGAGAAATGAACATTCAATTCACGGGCAACAGCTCTGGTGGACATGCATGCTGTCAGCATGCAAATTGCACGCTCCCTCAAAACTTGACATCTGTGGCATTGTGCTGTGTGATAAAACTGAACATTTCAGAGTGGCCTTTTATTGTGGCCAGCCTAACGGCCCGTCTACACTACAGGCATAACAAAATCTTGAAGCTGGGCGTGTCTGCGGCTTGGCGATTTCTCACGCCAAAAGCGACCAACAACCAATCACATGAATCTCCCGTCCCCGACATACAAAGCAATAGCAATGTTAAAACGAAGTAAACTGGATATAAAATCCCCAAACAGACGAAAACCTACCAGTTTCACCCACTGTCTCTGCCACCTCCCTCCATGCCTGGTTCCTCCGGTTTGTATCCCGGTAAATAGTTCTGGTCGTAAAGAACCGGGTGATTTGCTACCGTAATTTCTCGTTTGGAATATGAGGAAATGAACTGCGGTCTGGCTCTCCCAGCTTGCACGCGGTTTGATTGGCTAGCGCTTGTACTGGAGGGATTTGCATAAACGGGATTTGATTGACTGATGCCAAGCATCGAGCCTCAAAAGTTGAACATTGCTCAACTTTTGATGCTCGCGATGCTTGCAAAGCCACGCTCCGCTCCCCACAATGCAGTTCGGCGAAGATTCAAAATCAACTACGTCACCCCATTCAAGTGAATGGGCGAAGCGTTGAAAGCTTTTTTCGATGCCTGTAGTGTAGACGGGCCGTAAGGCACACCTGTGCAATAATCATGCTGTCTAATCAGCATCTTGATATGCCACACCTGTGAGGTGGGATGGATTATCTCGGCAAATGAGAAGTGCTCACTATCACAGATTTTTTCAGATTTGTGAACAATATTTGAGATAAATGGTTATTTTGTGTATATAGAAAATGTTTTAGATCTTTGAGTTCATCTCATGAAAAATGGGAGCAAAAAAAAAGTGTTGCATTTATATTTTTGTTCAGTGTATATATGTTTTGAAGCCACTTGATGGCCAGGCACAGATAGCTAGTATCAACAAATGTGAAGTCTATGCCAACCTCATGGTGAGCAAAGAGCAAATAGCATATCATGTGAATGCAGCTTTAGCATGACTTTGAACTCTGGCTGGCCTGGATCTACATGTAGTCAGAAAAAAACCATAAATATTGGAATACAATTAACTCCCAATTTCTTTCTTTGTGTTTGCTGTGGAAAGAGACACGGTTGAAGCCTAGACGCTAGATATAAACACTGTAAATATTTACATTCATACAATAATCCACTCCACATCAGCAGACTTACTAGATACTAAATCTGATGCTCTGTTAAGAACACATCATGTTTTTTTTAATGGAAGTAACCCGATCTACCCATTGAGGGTTTGGTTTTTATTTAAAAGTTGGATTTTAGACTTCTTCTATGAAAATGCACGTCTTTAGTTAGAAAACGATTTATTTAATTGTTCTTCCATTATAGTTGCTGTCCACCATTCCATTGAGTTCTCATTACAACTAACTGCTGTCACTCACTGTTCAATTCCTCCTCTGCTCCAAACAACGTAGTACTTCAATGAAAAGGTTTTCATTCTCATTTGTTCAAAATGAATTTGAAACAATGCAAAGATAAGACAAGTAAAACATCATAATTTGTTTTCATTAAAAAGACAGGGTTGTGCTACAGAATCCAGTTAAAGTATCATTTTGCTTCAAAAGAAGAAAAAAAAGATCATCGCTAATATAATTATTTGACACAAATGCGTAGGCTATCATATGGTGATTCATTTCTCAGGTTTGTCACTGCCTTATTCAAATGAAAATTGTGCATCATTGAGCAGGCCTTGCACTCTATTATTCAAATGTTTCTTGGTAAAATTGGAAAATGGCTCATGAATAATGCAAAGTGGAGGTCAATGAGTGAAATCAACTGAAGAGTGAAAGTGTCTCTCAGTTCTGAACCCTGTCTGTGCACCCGTCAGAGTCGGTTGCGATGTGAACGCTAAATGAACCTTGGTAATAGAGCCGCACTAAGTGACTGTGTGTGATTCACAACAATCACAAAGGGGACATTTCCACTGCAGGGCCTTCCACGGCTTAGTACGGTATAGGTAGGCCTTGGTAGGAACAGGCTCACTTTATGCTGCGTTTCCATTACAGTTTAGTAGCTGGGGCAGTAACTATAGTAACGCAGTGTTGGCGGAGCCATGACTTCATCTTCAATGCGAAACACAAAACCAACATCAGCTGTTAGCTGTTAGCACTCAGAGCTCACAGCTCCTCATATCTGTTCAGAAACTAGACTGAAGTTAAACAAGTACAAACCACAGACTGCCTGTGTCATGGCAAATACAGTCGCTGCTTTATTTATGACTGTAGGCCATTGTTGTGAGTGAGGACGGTCGGAGCATATACAACGTTAGCTTAGCCGATCTCCATTCAGAAAACACGCATTTTAAAAGGTGTTTCGTCTGCAGACTTGTCAAAGCATTAATTCATGGTTTTTACTAACCGGTATCAGTATGTTGTTACTTCGGCATCACTTTGAAACGTGTATTACAATTAAATCACGGTCAAATATGTTCATTTTGTTGTAGTTGTAGCCCCCTTGCCAGCGATTCTCTCTCTCTAGTTTAGTATATTCAGCCCGGTTGTTGGCCCGGAAAGAACCTGGATTTTGGAGAGCCAGAAAAACTGTGAAAAAGTACCCATTAGCCGGAACTACCCCTAGCGCAACAAAAAACGGGCCGGGTTTGGCACGGCACGCTTAAACCGTGCTACGCGCTGCAGTGGAAATGCGCCATTAGGCTGCGGCACGGCTGGAAACTGCACTGAAACACAATGAAGCAGAGACAGGAAACATGGGATGTGTTCACCTCATCCCTTCTTCCCATACAGTCTCCTCCTCCCTCTCACAGCCTCCTCTGTGTCTCCAGGCCCCGGCCCCCCTGCAGACCAAACAGTGGTCATCGAGGAGTTCCGCTACCTGTCCCAGAACATCTTCGTGTCTGTGTCGGTCTTCGCTGGGTTGGGAATCCTGCTGGGAATCGTCTGCCTCACCTTTAACATCTACAACAGCAATGTCAGGTAAAAAAGCTCAGACTTACTAGGTATGGATTAGAGGCTGAGCTATAAGCAGAGGTGGGAAGTAATAGAGTACAAATACTTTGTTACTTTGTTAATTTGTCTGGTATCAGTACTTTACTCCACTACTTATTTTTCTGACGACTTTTTATTTTACTTCTTACATTTTGAACACAAATACCTGTACTTTCTACTTCTTACATTTTGAAAACAAATACCTGTACTTTCTACTTCTTACATTTTGAACACAAATACCTGTACTTTCTACTTCTTACACTTTGAACACAAATACCTGTACTTTCTACTTCTTACATTTTGAACACAAATACCTGTACTTTCTACTTCTTACATTTTGAACACAAATACCTGTACTTTCTACTTCTTACATTTTGAACACAAATACCTGTACTTTCTACTTCTTACATTTTGAAAACAAATACCTGTACTTTCTACTTCTTACATTTTGAACACAAATACCTGTACTTTCTACTTCTTACACTTTGAACACAAATACCTGTACTTTCTACTTCTTACATTTTGAACACAAATACCTGTACTTTCTACTTCTTACATTTTGAACACAAATACCTGTACTTTCTACTTCTTACATTTTGAACACAAATACCTGTACTTTCTACTTCTTACACTTTGAACACAAATACCTGTATTTTCTACTTCTTACATTTTGAAAACAAATACCTGTACTTTCTACTTCTTACATTTTGAACACAAATACCTGTACTTTCTACTTCTTACACTTTGAACACAAATACCTGTACTTTCTACTTCTTACATTTTGAACACAAATACCTGTACTTTCTACTTCTTACATGTTGAACCCAAATACCTGTACTTTCTACTTCTTACATGTTGAACACAAATACCTGTACTTTCTACTTCTTACATTTTGAACACAAATACCTGTACTTTCTACTTCTTACATGTTGAACCCAAATACCTGTACTTTCTACTTCTCACATGTTGAACACAAATACCTGTACTTTCTACTTCTCACATGTTGAACACAAATACCTGTACTTTCTACTTCTTACATGTTGAACTCAAATACCTGTACTTTCTACTTCTTACATGTTGAACCCAAATACCTGTACTTTCTACTTCTTACATGTTGAACACAAATACCTGTACTTTCTACTTCTTACATGTTGAACACAAATACCTGTACTTTCTACTTCTTACATGTTGAACCCAAATACCTGTACTTTCTACTTCTTACATGTTGAACACAAATACCTGTACTTTCTACTTCTTACATGTTGAACACAAATACCTGTACTTTCTACTTCTTACATGTTGAACACAAATATCTGTACTTTCTACTTCTCACATTTTCCAAACAGCTGGTTCCTTTAGTCTGAATGTGTGTTTGGTGGCGTGATCATTATTCTTTAGAGTCATTGCGTGCCTATTGATTTGAACACGATCCGTGTATCCATCATTTCCTGGTCTTCTCTAAAGAAGAGGGACCAATGGAAACGTTGTCATGTTGCCGTTGTTCAGCATGGAAACATTCATTAGCTAACAATGACATTATTGTTCTATTCATATAAAGGGAGGTCAGGTACTCTTTAAAACAGCTGCTAGGTATGGGTACTTTTTACTGAAGTACATTACAAAGCCCATACTTCTTTACTTTTACTTGAGTAAAGAAGTTTAGTCAGTACTTCTACTTTTACCAGAGTATTTTTAAACACGAGTATCTGTACTTCTACTTGAGTAAAGGATGTGTGTACTTTTGCCATCTCTGGCTATCAGACCAGTTTGATCGGACTGGACTATGTGAGTAAGAAAGGGTGCACTAAGGCAAGAGACAAACATTTGAATGGCCAAACATTCCCCTGACCCTTTTTGAAAATGTAATTTGGACATGTACATATCTAGAAATGCAGAACTCAGTGTGTATGTGTGTGTTGCTGCAGGTACATCCAGAACTCCCAGCCCTACCTGAACAACATGACTGCAGTGGGCTGTATGATGGCTCTGGCCGCGGTCTTCCCTCTGGGCCTGGACGGCCTGCACGTCAGCGCGAGACACTTCCCCGCCGTCTGCCAGGTACTGGCTAAAGAACATTATTATTGGATTTCAAACTTACTGAATATTGGTTTAATGTGGAGAGAGGCATGCAATGTAAGGTGAATACTCAGACTCATGGTGGATACATGGTGAAGCTCTCGCTGCAATCCTCGTTGGCCCAAACGTTCCGGAAGCCAAATATATCCTGGTGAAGCCATTTGTTTCCATAAACACTGGAGATGCTCTTTCTGAATACTAAGTAACAGTGTTAAAATAAGAAGATTTGTACTGGACTTAATTCAGGGTTAGGGTTAGGGGTTGAGTTAGGCTTAAGTATACGGAACCTGACGTAAAGTTACTCAGTGTTAACTTTTGGGTTTCCATGGGACACCTCGGTAACATCCTTTGTCGTTGACCTCGTAATACTAACTCTGGCCACTTGAGGTCACTGCCTAAGAATACATGTATTAATGGATGGTAAGAAGCCATTTGCACGTAAGACGTTTTGGGTCCTTTTTTATGGGCGGCGTTACATACTGTCGCGTTGAACATCATAATTGGTGTGACTCTAGGGTTATTTGTAACTCCAAAAACTTGGAGTTTCAGGCTCTGCACTTTCCCTCCTCACCTCATACCTGAAAGACCGTACCTACAGGGTGACTTGGAGAGGGTCTGAGTCCGACCCTTGTCAATTAACTACGGGGGTCCCTCAGGGCTCTGTTCTTGGTCCCCTCCTCTTCTCCCTGTACACAAACTCGCTCGGATCAGTCATTAGCCCGCATGGTTTTTCTTACCACTGCTACGCTGATGACACCCAATTAATTCTGTCCGTTCCCCGCTCAGAGACCCAGGTTGTTGCACGCATCTCTGCTTGTCTAGCTGACATCTCTCAGTGGATGTCTGCTCACCACCTCAAGCTCAACCTTGACAAGACTGAGCTGCTTTTCCTCCCGGGAAAAGATTGTCCCACTCTTGACCTAACAATCAACATCGGCACCTCAGTTGTTTCCCCGACTCAGACTGCAAGGAATCTGGGTGTGACCCTAGATAACAACCTGTCCTTCACTGCAAACATCGCTGCTACAACCCGTTGCTGCAGATACACGCTTTACAACATCAGGAGGATGCGTCCCCAGCTGACTCAGAAAGCGACTCAGGTTCTGGTCCAGGCTCTCGTCATCTCACGCCTAGACTACTGCAACTCCCTCCTGGCTGGTCTACCTGCATGTGCAATCCGACCTCTGCAGCTCATCCAGAATGCAGCGGCTCGTCTGGTCTTCAACCTTCCTAAATTCTCCCACACCACTCCGCTCCTCCGCTCCCTTCACTGGCTTCCGGTAACTGCTAGAATCCACTTCAAGACACTGGTACTTGCTTACCATGCTGCGAATGGATCTGGCCCTTCCTACATCCAGGACATGGTTAAACCGTACACCCCAGCGCGTGCACTACGCTCTGCATCAGCCAAACGACTCGTTGCGCCCTCGCTGCGAGGGGGACCCAAGTTCCCATCGGCGAAAACACGTGGGTTTGCTGTCCTGGCTCCAAGATGGTGGAATGAGCTCCCCATTGACATCAGGACGGCAGATAGCTTGCACATCTTCCGGCGCAAACTGAAAACTCATCTCTTTCGACTCCACTTCGAGCGTTAGAACTATTAACGAAGCACTTTTATACTAATAAAGGACTGGCTTACCTAAAGCCAGTTGAGTAGCACTTGAAATGTTTGGCTCTATGAAACCTGATGTACTTATATGATTCTGTTTTCTTCAAGGTTGTGTCTTCCTGGTCGAATGTACTTATTGTAAGTCGCTTTGGATAAAAGCGTCAGCTAAATGCAATGTAATGTAATGTAATGTAATTTGCTCTTAGCAATAATTTTCCCGACTGGCGTGTCAAGTGAAACTGAGAGTCGAGGTAATGATCGCTAAGAGCAATTAACCCTGACGTTTTTCATGGCAGTCAGAAATACATGCTAATTTAAATGTTGTTATCTCTCAACCTATGCAACCTGTCCATCTCATCAAAGTTGTCGCTTTTTTGTGGCCTTTTTCTGATTTGACATTTTGTGCAGGTGGCTAAAAAGCTAACAATTATGTGAATGATTAAGCTAGGAAGAGGGCATCCCTGTTCCTGATCCTGCATAAAGCTGTGATTCGTCAGTTGTTTTCCCACTTAGGTGAAACATCCATCAAGAGGCACAATACCAGATCTATTTTAGTCATCCCTAAACTAAAACTAGATGTGGAGGGTGACTCACATGCCTGGCACCAGGATAAACGTGGTGTTGGCATTCATGCAGTTCACCTGTATCCCTATTCAGGAAACAATTTGTATTCAATAAATTACAGTTCAGACCATAAAATGACTGCAAGGTAGGGATACTTTTGGTAAACTAGTTCAGTCCCCCTAGCTCTTGTTACATGTGAACGTTTCATTCCCCCAGAAATAAGATCAGAGCCAAACCAAATCCTTTACGCAAAGGAAGAAAACATTTAGTTTTAACCCCAGAACTATTCTGTTTTTTCAAGTCTTTAAGCTCACACTGTACCTCATGTGGTCAGCTGATAGCTGAGTGCTACAGTAGAGGTAGACGTACAATGCTGTATTACGGAGCACAGCTTTGGAGCTTATGTTCATTTCAAGGTCATTTCTGAAGGGCTATGAAACTCAAACAGGGCTTAATGTGGCTGCATGACTGAAGAGCTGATTTGATTAATCTGTTTGATTTATTAATCAGTTTAATTATACCGTCTTTCATATATTTTCCTCTTTGCTAGTTCCGCCTCTGGCTGCTGGGTCTGGGTTTCAGCCTGGCTTATGGCAGCATGTTCACCAAGATCTGGTGGGTCCACACCGTCTTCACCAAGAAGGAGGAGAAGAAGGACAAGAGGAAGGTAAATGTGGAAGCTATGGATTAATGTTCCAGGAGGCAACTAAGTCCACCCAGAGATCTGTATGCCAAGTGAAGGAGGGGGGGGGGGTTGGGTTGGGTTTACTTAATCATCATCCCAGTCAGGGGCGAGCTCCACAGCCGGAGATGATTCCACGATCACTCTCTGCCTCCAGTTGGCTCGCTGCTGGCCCTCCAGCGTTGTGAAGCATCTATTGGTCACTATATTGCTGTAAACATGGCAGGACGTCCCCATCCACACCACAGGCTACCGGGGGGGGGTTATCCAAGACAGGTGTTTGGTTGGAGAAGACGTGTAAGCTCAATTGGGACCCTGGCACTATAGGATAGCTTTTCCCAAAACACCAAGCATAGCAGTGTTGGTGCAGTCCAAATACCAGTAAAACTAAATCCAATTTCAATAGCTGATATTATTATTAGGGCCGGGACTCGATTAAAAAAATTAATCTAATTAATTAGAGGCTTTGTAATTAATTAATCGAAATTAATCGCATTTTTAATCACATATAAATATTTGACCTGAGAACAGTGAGAAGCAATTTTTTTCACATGGATTTTAGTATACCATTAGGCGCATTCACACCGCAGTACTTTTCCCACAAAAGTTCATGATAACTTAGTTCATGAGAACTCTTTGAACCTGGGGGTGGATTAGGCAAATGAAGCCGCTGACGTCACTTCTTCTTCTTCTGCTTTGGGTTTACTGGCATGCCGCAAACCACTTCACGGCGTATACTGCCGCCCAAAGTCCTCGGAGTTGGGGACTGGCTTCAGTAGAAGCTGCTGGGAGTCCCAGCAGCTTCTACTGAAGCCTTCCGAGTAAATCGCCAGAACGCCGACACCTCCTCATCTCCACCGCTCCCATGTTTTATTTTGTGTTGCCATAAGTTAGTATCTCTGCGTTTCTGCGCTGGGCTAATGCTAATAATGCTAATGCGAGGATAATAAAATGGCGGCTTCACAAAACTTTTTGGGAGTTTTACGGGGCGTGGTTTGCAATCCGCCCAGCCAATCAGAAATATAGCTCTTTTCTCACAAGAGAGCCGTACGAAAGTCCCTGCTCTCTAGCAGCTCTCTGCTCTCTAGCAGGGACTTTCGTGGGGGTAAAAAGGTTCTCATGAACTAATTTTAGTACCAGCTCTTTTTGGTGTGAACGCGATAAAAGAGGCTAATGTCCACGCTAGCTTTCACGCTAGCTGCTATATGTTTTGCATTGAGGTGATACTTGAGGCTTGATGTGCTGCGGTGATATGCGAATTCCTTTTTGCATAATTTGCACACAACCGTGCTCTTATCGACGCTTCCATCCGTCCGTTTTTTAAAACAACATTTCCCACTGTTGTTCACTGTGGTTTGTTGTTGTCTGAAGTCATGAACGTTAGTTGGTGCTCCAGTATAATCGGTACGCCTGAAACTCATCCAGTGAGAAACGTTCCGCGGTGCAAAAATAAGTGCGATTAAAATGCGTTAATTTTTTTAACGCGTTAATTTTTGTGTAATTAATTAATCTTAATTAACGCGTTAAAGTCCCGGCCCTAATTATTATGTTTTATTAACTAGACCACTGGTTTTTTAACCCACACCGCCTAGTGGTTAAAGCACGTTATTGAATTTTGTTGTTGAATGTTATATTTGATGAAAACATTTAAATATTAAGAGTAGCCTACATACAAAATAGGGGGAAAGTAGAAGGTCAATGATAGAAATATAGAATAGAAAATATCAAGAAGATACTGTAGTGATCTCTACAATAAAACAGTTTAGTGCAGGACGTCCAAAGATATTAATAAGAGGATGTGCAAAACAGACAAACTAATAAGGCTTTATTTAAACATTAAAGAATACATTAAGTTAAGGTCTTCTTTTGAATAAGAAAAAAAAGTTGGGGGTATCTCTCTCTCTCTAGGTCGTCCTCAGGCGAGCCCTCCATCGTCGCTTCCAGTTATCCCGGTTCTCCCAGGCCCCAAGGAAGTGCGCCGGACTCAGATGAAAATATTCGTGGTGGCCAAACGGCGGTACTGCATATCCGTTTGGTTGCCATGCCCGGAAACACTTTTTCCCATTGACTTACATGGGGAAAGAGTGGTCTGTAAATTTAGCAGTCGGAGGCCCCGGTTGTGTTCGGATAGTTTAAAAATCAGCTCCTAACGTCTAACCCTATCGTCTATTCCTTGACCTCTGAGTGAAACGTCACGGGGTTAAGGGATAGTGGATAGGAGAATTCTAAAGGATTTAGGAGAAAAGACTGCGGTACTTTAGAGAATCCGAATGCACTTTCACTATCCGACGTGTTTATGATGCGCCAGCGGACGTCCTGAATGTGCGTCTGCTGCTGTGGGGAAACTATGGAAACTACAGTTTTCTATACAGCGGACTACAACATGGATGTTTAATAAGAACGAGGGACTACTGTAAACTCATCTAGAGACTCTGCACCGTGCTCTGATGCTGTTGCTTTATGCTTTATGAACGTGGACAACAGAGAAACATTCTTCATGACCAAAGTTGGAATTGAAATAAAAAGGAAAGTGAAACTTATGCTCGTCACCCTCTCCCTCCGGTCCACATTAATACAAATGATCCCAATACGTATGATTGTATGAAAAGATCTTAAATTCAATACAGATGTATTTATTATAAACGTTAGTCCTTAACATCTATCACTGTGTATATCACCATTCAAACATCTTTTAAAAGTTGAACAAACCCCACACAGCTCAGTAAAGACTGTGAAATGTTGACTTTATTTGATCATTTCAGTAAAAACTAACGTTCATATTTCTCTTTTTGATTATAATACTGATGAACGTTCAGAACAAAGCACTTTGGCAACTTACCACATACGTTTTAAAAAGCTTAATAAGCACCGTAACGTTCATGATATCATTTCTCGGTCATAATCGTTTGTTTCCGTGAACGGCCGACTGTTGTGTGACGTCAAATGCTGCGGCTGCAAGGCATTGTGGGGCAGCATTTTCTCCTCTCCTTTCGGTTAGGGAGGTCCAGTGGTTCCTAAGCTAAAGGAGGTTATAAAGGAAGTTTGAAACCTCCTTTCCTTTCATTTAGAGAATTCGAACGGCACTTATCATGGCTGCCACTGAGGGACTTCCGGGTCATTTCACTCCGTTAGGAAGGTTCCTAAGCTAAATGGACTATTCGACTGCAGCCTCAGTCTCAGGTCGGTTAAATGGAATCCTTGCGTCCCTCACTTGCGTCGTTTCCCTGCGACTAGTCCCTCCCACCAGGGAAGCTTGGAGAGACGCAAGGAAACCACGAGAAGCAGGGAAATTAGTTTTAAGAGCAATGGGACGTCCTTTCCTTAGGAGCGTCACGTGAAGCGACGTCCGTTTGTGATGACGCCGCACAGCTGATCGTCTGACAGCAGCTCTGTCCCCATTGTTTTCACAAACACCCCCACCACACATTTACTGACACAAACATTTGTATCATCTGTTGTAGATCCAAATACATGAAATAAAATAAGAACTCATTCTCAAAAAAGATAAATGCCATTCTTAAAATGTATAAACGAACATTAGTTTGATTAATATTGATTAGAGTGCACAATAGAAATACAAATAATTGAGAGAAGAAAAACAGATATGTTATCTATCAAAACCCAGTTAGATTAACATTCATTGAAACAAAACACGGTATAAACTGAAGAGTGACTCCCGTGAGGTTCATGTATTTTCTTCACTCCGCTGGGAAACTGCTCTCATGTCAAGAAGCATCAGATCAGTGCATGCACGGCATCGTCCAATCAGTGAGCGATACACAGTAAGGGGGCGGGGCGAGTATCTGAGGATTTCATCAAAGGATGGTCTGATGGTTCCTCGGTTATCGCTCCTCCGTTATCGCTCCTCGCTCCTCCGGCAGAAATAAGAACCATGGGACGGTACTCAAGATGGCACAGACAAATCAACTTCCGGTGAGACCGAGGACCGAGGAGCGAGGAAATGAAAATAGTCGACCTGAGACAGGGCCGGATTCTCTAAAGTACCGCAGTCTCGTCTCCTAAGTCCTTTTGAATTCTCCTATCCACTATCCCTTAACCCCGTGACGTTTCACTCAGAGGTCAAGGAATAGACGATAGGGTTAGACGTTAGGAGCTGATTTTTGGATTATCCGACCGCAACCCAGTTTTGGAAAGTCTGCCGTGGTTCCATTCCATTTCAAAGAGCTGTTTGACACTTGGCGTAACCTTGTCGCACAGCCACTCCAACATCCAATCACAGAGCTTGAGGGTTTGTAAAGCAAGGCGGATGTTGTAGTACCAAACGATAGCTGGGGATTCTGGGTAGTGTAGTGTCTTCGGAAACTGTAGTGTCTAAACTCCTACAAAACTATTTGTTTCTCTGATTCAAAGGTTAAAAACAGAAAAGCATTGTACACAATTTAAACCAATCAATATTGTGCAATTAACAAGGATAAACTGATGTTTTTTAGTGGATGAGTAATGCAGATATCACTGTGTAATCATTTGACAGTGAGAGGAATATATCCGGTTTTATTATGAAAACTTTGAGACCGGAAAAACTGTTTTCACCCACGCTAACTTTACATGGAAGCTGCCTGGCGAGACCTCAAATCATCTTCGTATATCTATCAAACTATAGATCCTACACATCGACTGGACGTAGATTATAAAAGTACAATATACACTTCTCGCTAGAAATCGAATCAAAAAGCATTTTAATGGCCAAACTATTCTACAATTTAGGATTTTCCAGAGAGGGTTATTTGTGAATAAAAGAATCTCCGGAGCGTTTGCAATCAACGGGAGCATGTTGTTTCTTACACGACCACTACAGGTGCTACACTTTAAAACGTGACTCAGGGTCGTAATAAGCTGCTGAACAATCGACCTATATGGTCGTTTTTTGTAGGAGGACAGGCTGCTTTTTTCAGATATATTCACTTTGAGTAAGTCATACCATTGTAAGTGCTGGTGAATCAGTTACAAGGCCTAAATTAACTATTGAAGAGCTTTTTTTACTTGTAGAATTTAATTACCGAGGTACAATCGAATGATGTGTTTTCAGTCTGTGACGGAAGATCTGCAAACTTTCTTCTGTCCTGATGTCAATGGGGAGCTGATTCCACCATTTAGGAGGCAGATTAGCAAACAGGCGTGTTTTTGAGGGGTCCCTGGGTCCCAATCACAGTGAGGCAGTAGCAAGCTGATTGGCCGATGCAGAGCAAAGTGCACGCATTGGAAGGGACGAAAACGTATCTCCGGCTCTAGTAAATGCCTAGCCAACTGTTGCTCTATATCGTACAGGAAATGAAAGAAATAAAGAGACATGTTTCTATGCTTTATTGGCGCCTTTGTGAACATTAAAGCATGTAGAGACACACAATACAAATATGAACCTGAACATGAGCAGAATAGAACCCGTTTAACAAATACTCTGCTTCTAGTAATGTAGTTTGAATATTGCCAGTCCACATTTCAAAGTTATTAGGTTAGATTGGCACTAAACATTAGACTAAAACAAATGTCATTGTGAACATTTCCGAGATATACCCAGCTTTATCTCTGCTCTGCCTTTGCAACGCTTCCTAAAAGCACCAGCTGGCGTGAAGACTGGATAAGATTGTGCTCAAAAAGAAATATTCACTCCAGCTGAATAAACAGAAAGCTGTGATTTTATGCAACAAAATCAATATCCACTTTGTAGCGTTGGAGCTGTTCTCACAGAATGTGTCTTTCTTTAGGGCGAGAACATAAAGGTACACCTTTGTTTATTATCGACTGAGTGAGGGTCTCTGTCAGGCCCGCTGCTCCCAGGCCAGATTGAATTGGTTCAGTTAGTGATGGATCATTGGTCTCTCTTCAGCTCAGACCGCTCTATTTATGGCTTCATAAATCTCTCTCTCACACAATCAGAAAGAGAGGATTTGTGCATGCTCCTGATCCCTGCTTCAGTGACCCCTGTTTCCCCACAGCACCTGGAGCCGTGGAAACTCTACGCCACAGTCGGCGTGCTGCTGGCCATCGACATCTTACTGCTCATGCTCTGGCAGATTGTTGACCCTCTACATATCACAGTGGAGGTATGATCACACGCTCCACTGTTATTTCTTCAGAACTTGCCAAAAACATTAAATATCATTAATTTATTTGTTACAATAATGGGGGTGGGAGACGTGGGAACCACAGAGTTGTTTGTTCAAGTCCTGATTGGACCAAACAATAAAGAAATGCTAATATAATATGTGGACTGCTAGCTGGAAATGTATCCTCTGGGATTAATAATAATATTAATATTGTATTATTATTATTATTATTATTATTATTATTATTATGTATTCCTTATTTAAATGAACTGGTGTTAAAACAAATTAAATATTAAACATAACTAAATGAGAAATTCACTTTTTACAATTATTTTCTGCTACATTAACATATGGATTAAAGTGATTTATTAATTGAAAAGTTTTTCAACAATTCAAGTTTAATGAAGTTATGTGTTTACATTACACAATAAATGTCAGTTATGTAATGTTCCAAAACGCCCAGTAAGTGTAAGAAGCATATTCTAGCTATACTGTTTGCAATAAAGATTAATTAATGCATTTTTCTATAGTTAGATTTTAATTATTAATTTGGCAGTATTTTACGCAAGAGTGTAATATTCTGATTATTCTGTCAGTCAGGCCCTTTAAATGTTTAGGGCAACAAATAAAAACTGATAACTTCCGCTATCAATTATTCTGTAATGATCTTTCTTATTATTGATTCATCATTTCATCACACACAATACTGGCAGAATGAACAAAAACTTCAAATTTGAAAAATCTGGTATCTGGCAAATATTTCCAATTTCTCCATGATGAATGACGATATCGGTTTCAGTACAGATCCTATAAATACTCAATTTTGTTCTATTGTAATTAGTTTCACTCATTTTAATTTTGGCACTAATTAAGCATTTTTAAGCCAATTTTGATGAACTTATTATATTGAAACATTAGCAGACACAGACTTAAAATAGTCTCACTTGAGCAAATGTACTTTCCCTAAATCAAAGATGTCACATGTATTCTGTAGAGGTTGTAGTGTGTTGCTTCTCCTCACCTGTGTGTTCATGTTGTGTGTGTGTGTTAAAGAAATTCACCAGAGAAGCCCCCAAAGGAGACCTGGACGTCCTGATCCAGCCTCTCCTGGAGCACTGCAGCTCTGAGAAGATGAACACCTGGCTGGGTGAGTGGAGTCAGTGGACATGATGTGGAGAATGTCCAACCACTGGCCTGGTCTATAAAACTGTGTGTGATGCCCTCAGGTGTGGTGTACGGATACAAAGGCCTGCTGCTGCTGCTTGGCATCTTCCTGGCCTACGAGACCAAGTCCATCTCCACGGAGAAGATCAACGACCACCGGGCGGTGGGCATGGCCATCTACAATGTTGCTGTGAGTAACACTGTGTGTGTGTGTGTGTGTGTGTGTGTGTGTGTGTGTGTGTGTGTGTGTGTGTGTGTGTGTGTGTGTGTGTGTGTGTGTGTGTGTGTGTGTGTGTGTGTGTGTGTGTGTGTGTGTGTGTGTGTGTGTGAGAAACCTGTGTTTTTGACTGTTGGAGCCTGCGGTCTGTCTGTCTGGGCCATCTGGACTGCTTTTGGTAGTCAGCTGATGCTGTGGGACAGAGGATGAGCTGAGGAGTTATACAAAAAACTGTTTCATGTGCGCACTTGTCGTTGCCCCCCCCCCCCCCACACACACACACACTAGGGGTTTCACCAACTAATCGACTAGTCGACTACCTTTACCACTAGTCGGCGCTGTAGGCCCTAGTCGTGAAAAAAATGGAGGTAAACGAGGTGCTGCAAAATGCTCCAAAACACGTCTGACATTCTTATGTATGGCAGTACTTCAACAAAGATGTAACCAACTCCACAGTGAAGTGTCAGTTGTGTACAGCTGTACTGAAGTACAACAAAAATACATCTGCTATGCGCAACCATCTGAAGATGAGGCTCCCGCTGCCGACAGCTAGCACTAGCAGTAATGCTAGCACCAGTGAGCAACGGACCGGCGTCAGCACAGGACAGAGGCAGACGAGCAGCAAGAAAAAACGGGTCAACAGTGATGCGGATGATGAGCTAGGGTTTACTGCCAGCGGACACCGCATATCCCCACAATGGATAACCCACTGGAGTGGTGGGCAGAAAACGTGCACCGCGTCCTCCGTTTAGCCAAGCTTTCGAGGAGCTATTCCAGCCACAGGCACCCCGAGTGAGAGGGTTTTTTCCCTGGCAGGCAACACTGTCACCCGAAAGCGGTCAAGCCTCCTTCCCTCACATGTCGATGCGTTGGTGTTCCTCGACGCAAACCAACAATCTGGAAAGGTGGACGTTATCGTGGAGGACAGCGAGTAAAGTGTTGCGCAATGCGCTGTTGCGCACTGGATTTACGTGGCATTTCAGTAAACAGAGTTGTTTGCTGTCGATTTTGGTGAGTCCAGTTACTGTTTGTTATTTACTAAGTCCAGTTACTGTTTGTTATTTACTAAGTCCAGTTACTGTTTGTTATTTACTCAGCCATGTAACACAAACTAAAATGCAGTGTTTAATGTAACTGTATGAGTTCTGATATAAAATACAGTTGTACACCTCTCTCTGTGTGTCTTTATTATGACGTAACGACTAGTCGACTGCTATTTTGAAAAACGTGTCGACTAGTAAATATTGGTAGTTGTGAAACCCCTAACACACACACACACACACACACACACACACACACACACACACACACACACACACACACACACACACACACACACACACACACACACACACACACACACACACACACACAGAAGCAGCGTCCTTCCTGGCTGGCAGTGGACACAAATATGCAGGACAGTGACATGACAGAATCAGGCCGGCTCAAGGTGGCCAGCGGTTCAACTTGAATACTTGGTGCACTGCATGTGGTGGACCGAGAACACCTTTGCGCTGTCAACTTCAACCGTATAGTATGTTTGTAATTTCATTTAAGATACGGAAGTACATTCAAATGAATGAATCTTGGTGTAGGTTTACACAGGATAAACAGCGGGCTCTAGGCTGAAAGTCTGGTGTTTGTTGGACCCTGTGTGTGTGTCAGCAGTGTGCCTCTCTGCAGGCTCTGCACACTCAGTCCTTCACTTCCGATCCCACAGCCCGGCCTCTCAGCAGGCAGTGACTTTCTCTCTGACCTCCTCTCTCCCTCTCACACTCCTGGGGTGTGAGGGGGGGCTCACGTCCAGCCCCCTTTGTTGGGTTACATGAGACAGAATGCGGCCTGTGGCTCTGCTGTCTGGGATTTGTGACTAAATTATGACAACGCTCGGCAGCGTGCCCGGGGAACACAGAGCTGGAGTGATGTGTCCTCATCATCAGGGACACGGTCACATGACACACGCCTAAGAGACATGTGTTTCTCTGTGCACACGCATGCACTTTGTTTAAATGTATATGAATAGTGATGAAGTCAATTGACAGAACATGTATTGGCGACTATCATTTTGAGTTACTTTTCAGGTTATATAATATTCCATGCCAACTGTGACCCAGCTACAGCTTCTCATTGCTGAAGAGTAGTTGTTTCCTGCATTGTTTTATACAGTAATTGAATACTGAATCTCTTTTTGTTTTTAGACAAAACAAGAAAATGCCACGTTAGAATGTTAAACAGTGATTGGCATTTTTTTACATTTATTCTAACATTAAACACAAGTAACAATAATCTGAGTTGCCAAATGTGTGGCCTGGCAGCTTCTGGATCAGGGACAGGTGAGGTGTCATGGCACCTTCCTCACTGCGAGTGGGACCCAGGTTCCCCTCAACAAAGACACGCCTGTTTGCTATCCTGGATTGTACTTTTAGAATCCACGTCCAGTGGATGTGTAGGATCTATAGCTTGATAGATATTATGAAGATGATTTGAGGTCTCGCCAGGAGAACGTGTATATACTACGTCTTTCCCCTATTCATTTCTATTGACGGCAGCGTCCATGTAAAGTTGGCGTCAACCCTCACGGGGTGAAAACAGTATTTCCGGTCTCGAAGTTTTCATAATAAAACCGGATATATTCCCCTCACTGTCAAATGATTACACAGTGATATCTGCATTACTCATCCACTAAAAAACATCAGTTTATCCTTGTTAATTACACAACATTGATTGGTTTAAATTGTGTACAATGCTTTTGTGTTTTTAACCTTCGATTCGGAGAAACAAATAGTTTTTTAGGAGTTTAGACACTACAGTTTCCGAAGACACTACACTACCCAGAATCCCCAGCTATCGTTTGGGACTACAACATCCGCCTTGCTTGACAAACCCTGTGATTAGTCCTCAAGCTCTGTGATTGGATGTTGGAGTGGCAGTGCGACAAGGTTACGCCGGGCATCAAACAGCTCTTTGAAATGGAATGAAACCACGGCAGACTCCAAAACTGGACTCGAACGGGTCCAGCCCCACCCTCCAGAATTACACATGCTGGCTATTGTGTGTTTCGCAACATGTTCTATGGCACGTCTCTACTGGGAATTGTAGTTTTCATATTTCCCATAATTAGAAGTTGCCAGTATTAAACTGTGTACACCCCTGGAGGTTTAGGGGATACAAAACACATTGGTGTTATCAAATACACATTTTTTTTAAATAAATGGGTGAAAATTGCTTGTGCCCATAATGGGCAGCATTAATATATATACCCACATGCCAGCTAAGGTCAGAAGAGCTTTATTTAACAGCTGGTCTTATGTCTGTGACCCCTCCTGTTGTTCATTGATAAGACTGAAACATGCACTTGTCAAGGTTCAGAGGCACATTTTGCAAATATGGCAGAAGCCATCGATCATCTTAAGATAAGATATACTTTATTGATCCCAAGTTGGGAAATGTTTTTGTTACAGCAGCATGTACAACATGCAATTTATTGTTACTTTGTAATTCTACTCCACGACAATTCAGAGGTTAACCTGGTATTTTTACTCCACTACATTTATTTGTGTTACTTTGCAGATTCTGATTAATGATGTGAAATGTATACAACCCTTAAATCAGACTTTAGTTACACCTGAGTCAAATTCAGGGAAGGTGATTGTCAAGTGCCAAAATAAACTGCAATATATTAGACGTTTAGTACTTTGTAAGGCTTAATATTTATCTGTAGATACCCCCGAAAAAAAATTCTTATTCGACCTAGAGAGAGGGAGATACCCCCAACTTTGTTTTCTTATTCAAAAGAAGACCTTAACTTAAAGTATTCTTTAATGTTTAAATAAAGCCTTATTAGTTTGTCTGTTTTGCACATCCTCCTATTCATATCTTTGGACGTCCTGCACTAAACTGTTTTATTGTAGAGATCACTACAGTATCTTCTTGATATTTTCTATTCTATATTTCTATCATTGACCTTCTACTTTCCCCTTATTTTGTATGTAGGTTACTCTTAATATTTAACTTTTTTCATCAAATATAACATTTAACAACAAAATTTTTTTAAATGCAATAACGTGCTTTAACCACTAGGCGGTGCGGGTTAAAAAACTGTCAAGTTTACAGTGTTAACACAATAAATTATACTTTCCAGTACAGAAAGGTATATCCGTAATTGAATGGTAAGCTATTTAAATTGTGATTCCATAGATGTGTCTCCCATCACCCAAACCCCCTGGCTATTCTCTCAACTCAGTATTTACATTCTTATATTCAAAGAAAATCAGTAATATCTTTAAAAAACGACAAGTCCCTTTCTATCAGCTGTGCACCGTTATGGTGTAAATATAACATATCTACCAATTGGATCAAATATAAAAGTCAGCCGAATTAATGTTGATACTGCAAGGAAATGGAAATGTGAAGAGAAATGGAAGATGTTGTTTAATTGCTAATATATTTATGATCCACGTCACATACTCAGTTTCGGCGGCATTTCTTCCAGTTTGTCCAAAGGTCTTCTCATCAGGGCTCTATAAATAGAAAACTAGATGTGTAATATTTAATACAGCCGAACCGTGTATTACAATGCCGTTATGTGATGACTTTCAAAGATTTCACATCGCATAAACACCATATCCCAGCGTGCATTGCGGCTAAAACATCCAATCACCGAGCTTCAACGATAGCTGAGGATTATGGGTAGTTCGATGTTTTAGCCTATCAAAACCTCTGAAAAAAGAAATGTGTCTCAGAATCTAAAGGGAAAAACACAAAAGCATTGTACACAATTTAAACCAATTAATGTCGTGTAATTAACAAGGATAAGCTGATGTTTTTTAGTGGATGAGTACGGCAGATTTCACTGTAAAATAATTTGGGGGTTGACGCCAACTTTACATGGACGCTGCCGTCAATAGAAATGAATAGGGGGAAAGACATAGTATACACGTTCTCCTGGCGAGACCTCAAATCATCTTCGTAAT